AAATCCCTGTGAAGTTACTGACGATGACGAAGTAGTATTCAGTCCAACTGTAGAAAGTCCTTCATGACTAACCAATAATCCTCCTTAAAATAACGTGAGTTGGCGTATGTAGTTGTAACATATGCCTTGTAATCCAAAGATCGTGTGTTCAAATCCCATGGACCCTATATTTTTTTATTATTAGCAGTAACGTTATATAAAAAAATTTGTATGATATATTTGTTAAAAATGATTTTATTTTGCTCGTGAGTTTGCTCCACTTGTTGACGCTCGTTTTGCAATAATCCCCACTCACAAAATAAAATGCCACTTTCAACACTTGTAGGTTAAACGTGAATAACTATTTTTCCACAAAAACGGCTTTATTAAGAAAACTTGACGATTTAGGTATACGGACATGTATATCATTTTGAAGCATTTTTCACCATCTTTCAATTAATTGTTTAATATATAGGTGGTTTTATTTGAAAAAATGAACTTTCGACTACTTTTATGCACAATGGAAATAATAGTAATTTTAGCACGCCCTGTATGATATGGAGTCGATTTCTTGGTGCTATTAGAATATTTCGAGTTTGTCCAAACTATCATCAAAATATCAACTTTTCATGAATTGAGAGTACTGATATACTTGATTTCAATTAAGGCTATGTTTTGGACCATGTTTAGCACAATTAATTTTTTATCTCGAAAACAAATAGAGATAGGTATAGGACATTATCGACAAAAAAGTATTGAAATACCAGAGCGATTCCAAAAATGTATTAATATACGGGGTCTTTCATTTAAAAAAATAAAGTTGCTAGGACTTTTTTATGGAAGTGGCAACGCCGCAATGCTGAAAATATTTTAGATCGATAGAACAGGTGACGAAATGTAAGAGGTGAAATTTTCAGAAAAATCATGCTTTGCGTTTTCCAGAAACGTCTAACCTACCATCGATCGTGAGTCGCGCTGTATACATAATATAGTTAACATTGTCAGCAAATTTACGGTAAAAATATAAAGGATGATTGATGTCTTCCGAATTTCGAGAAATAATTCATACTCAGATATAATAACTTTCTCAGTTAAAATAATATTCTCTTGAAAAGAAAGTTTTTGGCTTTCTGCTATTCTATCTCGATACAAAAAATGTGTGATCCTTCTAAAGAAAGGATGGAAGCAATCGATTCCATGAATTAACAAAGATGAATTAACAAAGATGTGTAGATCATGCAAAGATACAAACTGGAAGAAAAAGCATCGAAACAGCCATTTTCTTATAACCATTAAATTATACAAAGAACATTATTTTCGAAATGAATACTTTTATAAGAATGCTGAATTATACGAAAAACACTTTTCTCTATTCCGTTTGTATTGCAAATATTCGTATGGATTCGAGTCAGATATCATTCAAAGGATTCCTACACAATATAATTAATGAAAGAAGTAAAATTTCACTTACATGGACCACTGTCATTCTCACTGATAGACATTCGATGTTTCGCCGTGAGACACTTGACTTAGAGCTCTTCAATACCAATCTGGATAACATTATAAGAAAAACACACCATTCTTTCATGTCATGAAAAACAAACAATTAATTCATGTCATTAATAAACTGTGTGGTTTTTCTTATAATGTTAACCAGATTGGTACTGAAGAGCCGTAAGGCAAGTGTTCCATGTGAGTGATATTTTACTTTTTTCATTTAATATATTGTGTAGGAATCCTGTGAATGCTATTTGACTCGATTCCATACGAATGTTTGATATACAAACGGAATAGAGAAAAGTGTTTTTCATATAATTCAGCGTTCATATAAAAGTATTTGTTTCGAAAGTGATTTTCTTTCGTGTAATTCAATGTTTATATGAAAATAGCTGTTTCAAGAGGGTTTTTTCTTTCAGTTTGTGTCTGTAAGATACTTCTTCGCAAGATCTATATATCTTTGTATAGAGTTAAGTTTTTTGAAATTGATGGCTTCCTTTCTTTCTTTGGAAGATTCCCACATATTTTTGTATAGTGAGGTATGTGTGTTGCTTTTGGGTTTGTGATGATTGTGCAAACTGTTTATGTTATTAAATGCTTTCACCAACTTCATCGAGAGATCTTTCTACAAATTGTTCCGGATACACGTTTTCCTCAAGACTTCTATAAATCGATCAGTTTAGACATCCGAGGGTACAAAAATTCGCAACCAGCTCAAAGTTGGTAGGTTCGTTCAAAACACTGTCATAAATGGAATAAAAAAATCCTCATCGATCCGATACCTGAAAAAAAATTACTAGGGGTCAAATATGACAAAAAACGGGTACGTTTGTTCATAAAATCAGCCTTACGTGGCTGGGGTCGTATACCTGCTTCATCTTAGAATACCCAATACATGTTTTGAGTGCTACTCCGGAGTAGAAACACGTAATCTGTATCTGCAGAGTAGGGAGGGTGAGTGTAAGCCCACATCACTTAGGCCACATGCGACCCATTGTACATCCTCCCGAGGGGTCTTCACTTTGTCGTGGTAGGAGGTCTTGCGTACTGTGATGAAGTTACGGGCTATGTCGGCGGCAGCTTAGCTGCTGGTAGGGTCTCCCATGCCGAAGAGGCCGTAACAGAATAGTCAGTCGTTTGGGATACCAGGCGACCTCCCAAAGTATCCAGCCTTACATCCATATAGGGGGCATCATAAATGTGGACAACCCTTTCCCCCATGCTCGTGGGACTTGGATGGATATGAAAAAAATCAAAATATCAGAGGAGGATTCTTCGCAAAATCAGACTATCCTGGAGGTGCAAACTGACCAGGAAAGTCATAGTCGAACGGCGGAAAATACCAGCCCCGCTGAAAGCATGACTGCAGGATTGATGAAAGTCGAACTGCAGAAGAAAAGGCCATCAGGAGCGCAAAGGCGCAAACTGATGAAAGCAAGGAAAATAGCTGCCAGAACATAGATTGAAAAACCATGTATTACAAAAGACCGCAGAAAAACGGAAAAAATCAAAGTAACTTCTGTGGAAAGGGACAAAAAGAGACCTAGAGAGGATGTAAAAACTCCCCCACAGAACGTATTGAAAAAACCCAGGGCTTCCAAAGAAACTGGGACCTATAGCGAGACTGCTAGGGGCCTGAGGGTGGCGGTCACCGACATGCGACACCCTGATATCATCCTGAGTCAGGGTCAAGCAGACCTGATCCAGGAGGGACTTGTCCGCGAATTGGACAATACTCCCTCTGGTAGCCTCGAAAACCTCCAATTCAAAAAGACTCCATTCGGCGCAGGGGTCCTATGGATAACCTGTCCGAATGAAGGGACAAAAGAATGGCTCAGAAGAAGCATTGGAAACTTGGGCAATCTTTGGGAGGCGGCGGACTTGACTGTGGTCGAGGCCAACGAACTCCCGAAGAGACTGAGAGTCCTAGCCTTCATTCCGGGCCAAAAACACGAGGAGGCTACAATTAGGACACGCCTCAGTAAGCAGAATCCTGCCCTGGGAGTGGAAAACTGGATTCTCCTGAGCAGAAAAGTGGAAGAGGAAGGACAAATCCTGGCCTACTCCACGAATGAAAGTTCCTTCAGGGCCTTGGAGGAGAACATGTTTAAAGCCTACTATAAGATGAGCATGGTGACCTCCAAGGTCCAGAAGGGTCTTAACAGCAATGTTGAGAGTAATACAAACAAACCTGCAACCAAGTAAGGGGACCTCTTCTGTTCTTACCAAAGTGATGGGGGGATTTGATATTGCTCTCATACAAGAACCCTGGGTTTACAGGGGATAAATAATGGGATTGGCGGGCATCAGAGGGGAGTTAATTCATAACAGAACCTCAGAGACCCAAAGAACATGCATAATTATCCGTAAAGTAATAAATATACTGCCGTTGAGTAATTTGTGTTCCAGAGACTTGACGGCAGTCAAAATAAAGACGTCTGGCGGGGACGGACCTGAGGAAATCATCACTGGATCAGCATACCTCCCTTACGACAGTCCGGAACTACCACCAACCAGGGAAGTGGAGGAGTTGGTTAAGGCCTGCCAAGCAGAGGGACTACAACTTATAATTGGCTGTGATGCCAATGCATCACAGTTGAAAGTTGTTCAGACCATCGACACATGAACTTTGAAATCGGAGGGATTCAGACCTCGATCCTAACATATCAAAATCCCCGGAAAACAAACTGGGGAGCCTATACGGTGGACCTGGAAACCTGTTTAGACCGCATAGATTTTGACATCAGAGATGCCATAGACCTAGAGTTGGCAGCAGATCGATTACAGGAAGCTATAATCTCTACGTACAACGAACACTGTCCCATAGTAAATCAGAGATCAAACCGGAATGTGCCCTGGTGGAATGAATATCTGGCGAGGATGAGACAAAAAACTAGAAAAGCCTTCAAATGTGCAAGGAAATCAGGTTTTTGGGACCAATACAGAAGGTCCCTAACTGAGTATAAGAAAGTCCTGAGAAACTCCAAGAGAGATACGTGGAGAAGGCAATGTGAGGACGTCGAACAGACCCAAGCATGTGCCAGGCTCTATAAAATATTCTCGAAGGAACCCCAGGTCTCAATAAATAATCTGAAAATAAATACGGGGGAGAATACAAAAACCGGAGAAGAGACTATCAGAGAGCTTTTCCGGGTACACTTTCCCAGGTCAGAAATTACGAATCTAACACTGGAGTCCTGGGCGAATTCAGAACTGGAGACCCCGAAAAGGGTATCCAGGGAGGACTGGCAAATGTCGAAGAAGGTGATAGATATGGAGAAAATTAAATGGGCTGTAAACTCATTTCAACCCTATAAGTCGCCGGGATCTGATGCCATACATTCAGTAATATTTCAAAAGGGACCGGAAGTACATTTCAAAAAATTGTGTATAATTCTCAGGACAAGCTTAGCACTGGGACACATACCAAAAACTTGGAGACTGATCAGGGCCACCTTCATTCCGAAACCTGGGAAAATCGGACAGGACTCGGCGAAGGCTTTGAGAGCAATTAGTCTCATGTCATTTGCGTTGAAAACGCTAGAAAAATTACTTGACAGGCATATCAGGGACGTATCACTGGCTATCAGACCATTACATCGAGACCAATATGCATACTGGTCAGGTATGTCAACAGAAACGGCTCTATGTCGGGTAACAGAAAAAGTAGAATATACTTACAAAAACAAGGAAGTACTTTTAGCTGCTTTCTTGGACATTGAGGGCGCATTTGATAATACGTCGTTAGAATCAATCATCCAGGCATCGATGAGAAGAAAGATCGACAAGACAAGCTGTAGGTGGATAGACTGCATGCTTCGGGGAAAATTGGTATATACAACCATTATGTGGGAAACAGTCGTGGCACTGGTAGCAAGGGGATGTCCTCAGGGGGAAGTTCTATCCCCTCTGTTATGGAACCTTGCAATGGACGAGCTACTATGTCTCTTGGACCATAATGGGTATAAAGCTCTGGGCTATGCAGACGACTTAGTCATCTTAGTCCAGGGTACATACAATAATGTAGTGAAGGGATACATGCAGCAGGCCTTGAACATTTTAACAATATGGACCGAAAAAGAAGGGCTTAATATAAGCCCATCCAAATCGACCATAGTAGCATTCACCAAGAGGACTGAAACGGAGAGTTTCGGACGTCTAAAACTTCAAGGTGAAGAAATACAAGTGTCAAGGGAGCTTAAATATCTGGGAGTAATCCTAGATTCTAAACTGACCTGAAACCAACACTTGGACAGGATGAAGAGGAAAGCGGAGGTAGCACTGATGCTCGCCAGACGCACTAAAGGAAAAACATGGGGGCTAAAACCAGACATGGTATATTGGCTATACACGATGGTGTTTAAACCCATAATAACATATGCATTTCTGAGATGGTGACCAAAGATGAAGCAGGCGACATCCATCAAGAAACTAGGCAAGGTGCAAAGACGGGGAATGACGGGAGCAATGAGAACTATCCCAACAGCTGCATTGGAGACACACCTGTATTACACTTACACTTTGTGACAATGGGGGAGGCCAGGATGGGCCAATTCAGACTGAAAAACTCTCCGAACTACAAAAGATCGGACCGAACAGAAATTTCGGAACAAGTGGATGAGCACATATTGAATATGTGCACGGACCACATGACACCGAAGTACACCTTTAACACAAACTTCACGGCCAAAATTATGAGCCGTGAAGAGTGGAAGACCATTAGTCATCCCGAAAACATGTTTGGAGAAAACACCTGGTATACAGATGGATCGAAGACCAAACATGGAACGGGAGCTGGAATATACCAAGCGGATGGAAATCTAAACTAAAGCTATCCGCCAGGACTATACACATCCATCTTTCAGGCGGAAGTGTATGCTATCTTGCAGTGTGCAAGGCTCATTAAATCGAGACCTCAAAGAAATGAGCGGATCAATATTTTTACAGACAGCAAGAGCGCACTAGGGGCTCTGACAAACCCGAAGGTGACATCAAAACTGGTCTGGAAATGTCATGAAGAACTGAATGAACTTGCAAACAGGAACAAATTAACTTTGTACTGGGTGCCAGGGCATTCAGGAATCACAGGTAATGATAAAGTTGATGAATGCGCTAGACGCGGATCATCAACTTCATATATAGGTCCTGAACCAGCTCTGGGGTACCAAAATCATTGGTACGAAACCAGATTAGAACATGGACCAATAAGAAGCATACAGAGTACTGGACGAATGTACCTGGCAACAAACACAGTAGAACCTTCATTAGGGAACCGTCCGAGGAAAGAACCGAAGAACTACTTCAATATAGTAGGGATCGGCTCAGAATAATTACAGGGTTACTAACCGATCATTGTCCGCTTAAAGGACACCTGAATAAAATGGGGCTATACAACGGAGACCTCAGCTGCAGATTATGCAATGAAGGGATACACATATGCGAATGTAAGGCACTGAGTCACAGGAGGCAGGCAATATATGGACGTACAAAAGTACGCTCAGAAGAATATGACGAACATCCAACACGGAACCTGTACAAACTAGTACAGGGAACGAGACTGATGGAATGGGTGTCATGAGAATATGGGAGAATAAACGCAATAATCCCAAGAGGCTGCAGTGTTTCATGGAGACTTGGACTAAATGGACAGTCAGAAAGCTCCCAAGGTATAAAAAAAAACATCCTCCCGAGGAGTTGACCTCCTAGGTCATCGTCTGTCCTGTCCTTTCCAGGAAGGTGAACAAGTCACTTGGAGACATCTCCTGCATATCGGCAGGTGTAGGCCAAGGTGTAGCTGAACACACACTCTCTTATTGACGATAACTCCGGGCACTCGCATAGGACATGCCTGACAGTCTCATCTTCCTGTTTACATATCCTGCATGGAGGTGTGTCTATTAGCCCTAAAAAATGGAGGTGCTTTCTTACTTGATAGTGGCCAGCCAGAAATTCTACTGTTGAGCGTATACCTATTTTTCCTAGTCATCGACAGACATTTATTCGGCGTCAGCTTCCCTGGCAAGACTATTCCATCCCATCTCCTTCGGGATTGAGCATGGGTGTAACATTTGGCCAGTTCCGCACTTGTTGAAGTCATCAGGCCGTAGGTGCCACTGAGTTCTAGAATTCTTAGTCCAGCCGCTTCCTTGGCTGAAGAGTCGGCAATGCGATTATCGTTACTCCTGTCGTGCTCTTTAACCCACCTCAGGATAATGTTATTATCTACCGAAATTATAATATATAGAGTTTTTGACTAGAGTAGAGGCTGGTATGGGTAATCTCAGGTCATTAGATTGACGAAAGGCATAATAATTGGAGTAACCAGTAAATATCAATTTATGTTTGTTAATTAAAAATACTGTTTCTGAAATAAAGATTCCAAAAATTGTCAAGACTTTATGTAATTCAAACAGGGGTTTGCAGGAGTCTCAACTTTTGGTATTGCACATGAATCTTATAGCCCTTTTCTGAATAATGAACACCGTCTGCATTTAAGTTTTGCTGTTTTGCAACATACTCTCCAGAAAGGAATTCCATACCTTAAATGCAACTAAAGAAGTGAGAAATAAGCCTATTCAGTGGCCGACAAACCAAGATTCTTATAAGTGATTCGTTTATGTATAGCAGGAAAAGTATCGATTCCAGTATTGAACCTTGTAGTACACCTTTTTTTATTTCGCCTGCTGAGAAGGATGATCAGGTTTTCACAATCTGACTTCTTCCTGTGAGATAATTCTCGGATCACATATGAGTAATTCCACGGATACTATAGTGATATAGTTTTTTTAGCAGTATTCCATGATCTACACAGTCGAAGGCTTTACAAAGTCACAGAACGTTGCTGCTGATGACTCTTTTTCATTAATGTTTTCATAAACGTCATATTATAAAGAAAAGATAGCAACACAGAATCTTATTATTATTTTTAACCGAGATAATATGATATATCTTTTTAGCTATTTGACGACGGAATATCATTCACCGAGTTATGAAAATAATGTATATTTTATTAGACACAGAGGAGAAAACCATTTTTTCTAGTTATCTGATTTGATAATTTGGAAAACCAATGATTTCTTCAAAAAACAGTAAGTAGCTAATCAGTACTTAACAAAAATTCTTTGTATCATCCTAGCGGTTGATGGAAAAATCTCAAAAAAAACTATCGAAACTATCGAAACATCTAAAACTAAATAATTTCAGTTATGTCTGATGACACTAACTTGATTAGTGAAATGCTCGTCAAAAGTCAGTGAAGTGTTGTGGAAAATGTATTTTTATTAGACTCAGATGAATTGTTTGTTATTGTCCTTGAAATATCAAGATTTTGGCTCCTGCTAATGAGGAATTGGTATTGTTTTGTTAGTAAAATACTACCGGTAGAGAATGTAACTTGTCACATGATGATATTGAACAATGGTCAATTTATATTTTCAATGTATACTAGAAATGTTTGGCGCTACTAGTCATAAATCCAAATGAATTTTGGTAAACCCTAACCTTAAAAAGACACGTCTACAAATTTCACCGTTGTCGGACTATTAGTTTGTTGAATAGAACATTTCGAGTGAAGAAACTTTTGTTAGTGTGAAGAAAATTAACTGAAACGATTTAAGTGTGTAAATGAAACATTGCCTTTTGTCGGAAAAAAATACTGCACGCAGTGGACGCCCCAAAGAGGCTGTTACCGACGAAAACATAAAAATGTCCACAAAATAATTTCAAAAGAAGGTGTTGGAATATCGTAAATGAATATTTGGGTATGCGTTCAAAGTGGGTGCCGCGCGAGCTCAAAATCGACCAAAAACAACAACAAATTGATGATTCTGAGCAGTGTTTGAAGCTGTTCCACCACCATAAAAACCCTAATTTATGCGTCGATATTTGACAATAGATGAAACATGGCTACACCATTTCACACCACAATCAAAACTATCATCATCTGAGTGGACTACACGTGGTGAACCGACTCCAGAGCGTGCAAAGTTATCAGTATTTTGAGATGCACATAGTATAATATTCATCGACATTCTTGAAAACGGTTGAGTCTTCAACAGCGACTATTGCATAGCGTTATTGAAGCGTGAAAAACGGCTCCATTTGGAGAAGAAGAAAGTTTTGTTTCATCGAGACTACGCACCGTGTCACAAATCAATGAAAACGATAGTAATGTTGTATGAATTGGGCTTCGAATTGCTTCCGCATCCACCTTATTCTCCAGATTTGGCCCCCAGCAACTTTTTTCATTCATTATTTTTGTGCCTCTAGGTTTCATTAATTTTAAAGTCCAGCACTGAAGCTCTCGCAGTCCTAAATTTATAAAACGAGGGTGCGACAATATATAA